ACCGCTTGTCGTATTTGATTGGAACGAATCGGCTGCTTATCTTTGAAAAATAGCTCTGTATATTTAATGTCGATTGTTTAGTCAGATCAATGAAAAACTGCAATTTTACTTTTACGCGCATTTGACTTTTGGAAAATGCTGATGAAGCCCTGAAAGGCAAAATAATGTATCGCATATTCACAGACTTAAGGCAAGCAGTGCGTGCAAAACGTATGAATTAAACGTTAGGCTTGTCCTTTGTGCGTCTCACTGTTTTCCTCTTCCTTCGTCAAGACTTTATTAGCAGGGCTAAGGGAATAATGAGGGGGGTAACTCTAGGAAAAAAAAATTGAAAAAGATGGGAATTTCAAAACTTTACGATTTTATAGGATTCCATCCCATTTTGGACGATTTGATCCGATTTTGAACAGCTCTGTTGGAATATGGACAGCTTTGTTCTATGTTGGACACATATGTCCAATTCCTGACATTTACGTCCGATTTCGAATAGTCTCGTCTGATTTCGGACGTTTCATGGCCTCGTACATGACACCACTTACTGAAAAATTCCTCTAACCCAGTCTCTACGCCTCTCAATTTTGTTTTGGTTTGTCGCCTAGCAGAAATTCTGGAACGCGGGATTTCTGTTGGGTTAGGGTTCTTAGTCTTTAGGTTTTTTTATCTCCCGTTGCACAATGGCACAAGAGCGCACAATACCAGGATGTCCTTGGGCATTTGCCGACGACATGAGAGGAATCATTGATAAAAAGGAATTCAGGTTTGAGAGGCGAACTTGTTTTCGTTCGAATCATCAACTGTCACGCTATTAAATTCTAATCAGTTGTCAAACAACCCGAACCTCTAAATCTTCTCCTTATTAGAGTTTTCGTTGTGGGAACCAAAAGAGTTGAAAGGAAAAAAATAGGACAAAATTTCCGCACAGTCCCATACTTCATTATGCATCCATATATGAGGCTTTATTATTCAGTGTATTACCAATAAGAGGTGCATGCGTAACGAGGTATGGGGCTGTGCGGAAATTTTTCCTAAGAATGTTCGTTTTTTCCTGTAATTTTTTTTAATACGATCAGTCTCATAAAAGGAAAACTTAATACAGTTTTTAAGAATGACAAGGAGTGTTGTGAACCTTATGCAGATTTCCTATCCGAATTGATAACCTTGAAACAAGTTTCCATTTGCTTGACTACTCCTTTTGCAGTGATGTGAAGTTTATTGTGGGGTCAAACAGAAAAGTGATCCGTGCAAACAAGTCAATTTTGATGGCAAGGTAATACTGTTCCGTAGGTTATCCCTTAGTAGTCTTAATGTTTTAAAATAATCAATATTCTGTTTAGTTCCTAATGAATAAAGGGGGTAAGTTTGTAAAGAAACTGTGGTGCTGCATCTGTGGAGGGCATTACAAGAAAGTTTGGTTTAAAAACTGAGTTGATAATGTAAAATGGCCACATAAAGTGTTTCCAAGCCTAATGTTTTGATTGTTGCCCCTTGGTCTCAGGAAAATGTTCATCAATCTGCAGACAAAGAACTAACACTTGAAATGTTAGCTTTAGAAATATTAGGTACTTAAGCCAAGCATTATCCAAAAAAATATTATACTTGGAACTTGATAATTATGTGAATTGAACTTTTATCAGTGAGAGATAAGTGTGTGGTTGATCAATAGTCAATTTGGAACCCCTTACACTGAGTACAATTTTTCACATGGACAAGTATTGATCAATTGTTTGTTTTTTTGTATAAATTCATTTATTATGATTGTAGGTGTGAAGTTTTTAGAGCAATGCTATCAGATCAAAAAGACAATGTACGACCAAAAACTGACCAGCAGGATATACCCCTTGTACTGGCAGATGTTACTCCAGAAATCTTTATGTCATTGTTGGAATTTCTCTACACAAATACATGCACTCTGAATAACAGAAATGTGAGTTGAAATATCTTGCTACACATGTTACTGTCACATCTCTATTGAAATTGAAGCAAGTGGATGATGAATACAATAGATGTGTTTAACTGATCAGCTGACTGATAAGTTTACTTATTGATCAAATACCTTACATGATATTCATTAACTGATAGACTGCTGTTTGCTTGTTTCATTGTTCTTTGCATGTTTGATCTATCAACTAGTTAATGGTACTTGATCATTTTTTTTTGTTTGTTCGTTGATTGGTTTTTTCAGGTGATGGAAGTTATGGGTTCAGCCATGGAGTACAATTTAGAACAACTCCAAAAGGTTTGTACATTATATTCTAATACTTGTGTTGTGATGTGGTGTTTGGTACATTTTTTAGGTGTAATTTTTCACCTGTTTTCAAAAATTAAATTAATCTTTGAGGTACACAATTTTATGCCTAGGGGTGTGGAACAGCAGACTACATTCTGTGAAAGTGAAGAGAGTAAACTTGAGTGTGCCATATTTATTTGCAAAATATTAATTAATTTAATCAAAATTGATTTTTGCTTTGTCAACTCGTAGATCTGTGAGCAGTTCATTGGTGAAACTCTTGCCATAGATACAGCATCAGAAGCAATGCAGGTTTGTTCTAGGTTAAATGGTTTTTGATTGGAATTAGTTAATTGCCTACAAATGAGTAAAGATGATCTTAAACTTTTTTCACAATTGTGGGACACAGATGAAGATCCAATCCCCTATAAGGATTTCAACCAAATCCAGTATTTCTATGCACCATTTTTTGTGTTAAAAAAAATTGGGAACAATTTATGGTGTGAATGAGAGAGGAAGGAAAACCTGTATCTTCCTTGGGGATTTAAATCCCTGAAGGTTAGTTTAGGTTTTATGGTCAACCATCTACTATGTCATGGTTATAGTTGACCAAATATTCAAATTTAGATTGCAGTCACTTATGGACAGGAGGAGTTAAGAGAGCGATGTTTGGATTTTATTGAAGAAAACACAGAGAATGTATTCAGAACAAAAGGATTCCATGAGCTGTCAGAGGAGGCATTGGCACTACTTCTACAAAGTGATAAACTGATGATGGATGAACTGGAAATTCTTTCAGCTGTGAGGGAATGGGCCACAGTGAACTCTGTAAGATATTTATCAATAGCTTATTGTCTGTGAATTTTATTGCTATGTCTGGGGTTAACCTTAAAGTGGTGTGAATGTGCACTTTATGTGACTAGGTTCAATTTGAAGCTTCAACATCCCCTCCCACGCACCCCCAGTCATTTGAATTTTGAAAGATTGGTTCATTCAAATTCCTGCCGCCCTTCCACCAGACCAAAATTGCCACCAAATGCCCCTACAAATGTTGTAGAATTTAGCATAGTCACTTACTAACTTATGTGCTGCTGTTGGGGTTTTTGTTAGTAAGCATCATTTTAAGGTTGAAAACTGTTTAACTGAGCCATTCACTCATAAAACCAGACTCTTTATGTTTAAACTTCTTCATTATAACATATGTATTTTGCTGGAAAGACTTGACACTTCTGGTTCAATGCTCCACAAATGATGGTCAATTGCCGAGCAGGGGGAGATGTTGAAGCTTTGAATTGATTTGTGTATTATTCTGTTGTAATCTTGAGCAAGATTCTTTTACTCTTTACATTCACAGTGCCTCTCTC